ACTTGAACCGTTGGAGGAACATCCATTGATTAGAGAACTGTCACAATTATCTCTACCTATAAAGAGTATCGACGCCTCAGTTGCGGCAACCGCCTTAGTATCGGCCTCACTAAAGTCGCCTAATAGGATCTCTAAATCTGTTTCTGCCTCACCGAACAAGCCCAGTGAGGCAACAATCAATTCCTAACAGCCATGGTTCCAACCGAGCTGATGCCTCGCTAATCACAGGTTTGCCTGTTTCACCGTGCTACGCCGTACCTAACGATGATCGACTCTCCTGGTGTATCTTGATATCAAAACTACTCCTCATGGTATCGGCAGGAATATGTTGCCACACTTCTCATGGAAAACGGGGTTCCATCAAAATTTCGCGTCCTGAAGGAGCTGTATGTACATACAAGATTCAGACTACGGAATTCGACTAGGCCATCTAGCGGCTCCGTTTCTAGTTGCTTTGTTTTCGATAACCTGTTCAGTTATTTTTTCTATCATTATTGATAATTCCACACACTGCTTAATGATAATGGAAATAGTTCGCAGGTCGACAAGCTGACAAGATCGACCCGGCATTTTGGATTGAATTTTTCATGAACGTACAATGTGGTGGTACTAGACTGGCCAGGTCATGTGTTCACTCTCACCTTATCTCAATAAATGGAGCCTCAATCGAAGTGCTTGAGAAATATGTGTATCTAGGGGCTGTTTAGGCGGAGCACACTACTGATAAGGTTGCTGAAAATACTGTTATGGCCCATGAACGGATTCGTCATTCTTTGTGCTCGTTAGGTAGGTGCAGGCTTATGTTCCACTTGGACTCAAAGTGGACGCGCTTCGCGAAGTTAGTTTGCAGCTGAATGTATTTTGCCGATTTGTTTATTGTTGGAACAACAACAAAATCCTAGCGCACTCAAGTGATTGATTATTGCCGAAGGGACGAGAATGCAACATACTTGTGTCTGGGTTGTCTCCATGTGGATGTGAAACCGCTCCCTTGGGGTAGAAGGAAATGATAAGCGGACTGCATTGGGTTACCGATACTTATGGTGAGATCAACACCTCAGCGGCGAAGCTCGGTGAAGAATGTTCAGTGGAGAACAGCATTTTTTCATGAGTCTCGTACCGAAACGGCATCAACTGCGATCTCTAGAGCGGACTCCATTACCGATACTTATGGTGAGATCAACACCTCAGCGGCGAAGCTCGGTGAAGAATGTTCAGTGGAGAACAGCATTTTTTCATTTCATGCGTACCGAAACGGCATCAACTGCGATCTCTAGAGTACGTCTGAAGGATGCAAAGCCAGCGGTATATATATATATATATATATATATATATATATATATATATATATATATATATATATATATATATATATATATATATATATATATATATATATATATATATATATATATATATATATATATATATATATATATATATATATATATATATATATATATATATATATATATATATATATATATATATATATATATATATATATATATATATATATATATATATATATATATATATATATATATATATATATATATATATATATATATATATATATACCGCTGGCTTTGCATCCTTCAGACGTACTCTAGAGATCGCAGTTGATGCCGTTTCGGTACGAGACTCATGAAAAAATGCTGTTCTCCACTGAACATTCTTCACCGAGCTTCGCCGCTGAGGTGTTGATCTCACCATAAGTATCGGTAACCCAATGGAGTCCGCTTATCATTTCCTTCTACCCCAAGGGAGCGGTTTCACATCCACATGGAGACAACCCAAACACAAGTATGTTGCATTCTCGTCCCTTCGGCAATAATCAATCACTTGAGTGCGCTAGGATTTTGTTGTTGTTCCAACAATAAACAAATCGGCAAAATACATTCAGCTGCAAACTAACTTCGCGAAGCGCGTCCACTTTGAGTCCAAGTGGAACATAAGCCTGCACCTACCTAACGAGCACAAAGAATGACGAATCCGTTCATGGGCCATAACAGTATTTTCAGCAACCTTATCAGTAGTGTGCTCCGCCTAAACAGCCCCTAGATACACATATTTCTCAAGCACTTCGATTGAGGCTCCATTTATTGAGATAAGGTGAGATTGAGCACGTGGCCTGGCCAGTCTAGTTCCACCGCATTGTACGTTCATGAAAAATTCAATCCAAAATGCCGGGTCGATCTTGTCAGCTTGTCGACCTGCGAACTATTTCCATTATCATTAAGCAGTGTGTGGAATTATCAATAATGATTAAAAAAAAATAACTGAACAGGTTATCGAAAACAGAGCAACTAGAAACGGAGCCGCTAGATGGCC